AGTTATTAGTGATTATATAAATTAAAATACTGTATAATTACTACTATAATAATATATATATGATTGGTTGGTTCAATGGAGTTAATGGAGCCAATGGAGCCAATGGATGCTATTCCATTCACTCTATTGGCTCCATTGATAATTTTCCCAATAGGTTTTATCCATTGCCAACTCTGCTTTCAGGCTATCTGGATTGGGAGTTTGAAGAGCTGTCGTTGACTTGGAAAAGCTGGTGATAGTCTGTAAAGTGAGTACTGAGATTTGGGTGAACTATACAAGGGCAAAAGTAGGTAACGGTAGCGACTTTGGCTCACAAGTACTTGTTCTCAGACTCGGCATAAGTTACTAAAGCCTAGGTTAACCAGATTGTGGGTAGAGAGAACCTAGCAAGGCTGCCACTATGCCTACCTGTGAAGACCTATGGGCAACCAATAAGGTAATCAAGTCCAAGTAAAATAGTAGAAGGCACTTCAGTATAAAGATATTTAGCTTAGAATAATTGGTGGGTATGTATAATTAGGATTCTCCTATTGTAATACTAAAAATGTAAACTTATGTGGTTAATGAGAAACATCAATAAAGCTTAGTCCCAAAAGACACCTTATAAAAAAAAAAATATATATATATATATATATAAAATAAATACTTTTAAATATACTGAATATATAGTATTTTTAGTAATAACTGTTCTGTGGCAGATTAAAATAAAATGAAGAATAGTGTAAAATCAACAAACCTTCAAAAAATACAAATTTTTGGGTACATTTTTTTAGCATTTTTAGGGTTGGAATTAGGGTTTAGAAGCAGGTTTTATAATAAACAAGTATAAGTGAGTCAAATAGAAACCCCTCATTTCATTTTAATCCGATTTCATTATAATCTGCAACAATAACTATATACACATATGCATAAAAATTAAAATTTTATTAAATAAATCGATATTGGCATATTAAATAAAATTATTCAAAAAATCAAAATATATATATTCTAAAAGTTTATTAATACATATATTTTTATTTTTTTTTATATTTTACAAAATATTGAAACCAGGTTCTAAGGGTAGAAAGTATATATATAATGATTACATGGATTTTTTACTCGTGAATTTTTCTAGGTGGTACAAGATTTTCCTAAGTAGTACAATATAAATAACATGAATAATTGATCAACTATTGTAAAATGATCTACTATATTTTCACTATTAAAAGCAAATTGTGAATCCTCTACCCTTAAAATTTGGTTTTGACCAAACCAGGTTTAACTTAGGTTTGGAACTTATATAAAAACCTGAGTCTTGGGTTTTTAATTTGGAACCTAAAGATTTTAAAACCTAAACTTTACCATCCCTAATCACACACAAGCCATCGATTATTCAATGATTGTCGTGCAGTCGCTCGTTTATCCGGATTCAAATCTAACATTGGTAATAGGAAATCAGCCATAAATTCTGCATCATTACGTGGAAGTAAATACTTTTCTTGGAGAACGTCCGCTAGTTTCCAGTGACGAAGTTTATGAATGTGCCGAAGTTCCCCTTAAGTCAGGATAGTGCAAGTTAAATATATTATCATATATTCATGATTCCGGAGTTGTTGAATAATCACACTACCTTTTTTATTAAATATGTCACTTGAATATTTGCCGTTCAAAGCCAAGTGTTTCGGAAAAGAACCTAATAATTCCATAATTTGGGCTATATGGTCTGTAAAAAAAAGTAATAGATAATGATAAGTAAAATAATAATGAGTAATAATAATAATAATAGTAATAATAATAAACTAATAATAATAATAATAAAAATAATAATAATAAAATTCATAAATTGCACCCCATACCGTCATCCTTATTATAACGCGAACCAGCCTGTGGATCGAATAAGTAGTCCCCTGTAAAAAGTTCAAATACCTAAACACGATATAGGATATCATTTAATGATATAATTACAAATGAAAGTTGTGAAAATTATAGTGAAACGTACCATACAAGCCATGCTCCAGATATCAGCACTGGCACCCCAACGACTACCTAGAATGACTTCCGGACTTCTATATTGTCTTGTCTGAATGTCGTTGGTGAAGTGGTGATCTACCCAACAAGCATTACCGAGGTCGGCGATTTTGACAGTAATTATGTCAGGTGTGGTCCATTTTGCAGATGTAGATGGTTTTCGTGATAATTTCGTCTGAGAAGTAGGAGAAATGGCTATGGAGGATGACGAATTATTATGCGAGATAGAATCAACAAGAGAAATTTCATTAAGGTTACGTTCCAAAATATCTCTAAAAATGAAGAAAAAAATTTTTTGATTATTATTTAAATTAAACGGAATTTTTTTTTCTATTAAATTAAATGAATAATTTTGAGTTTTGCGAAAGGGAAAATAGGCTTACGTTGTTGATTCCCGTGTATCACAAACGATATCATCAGTTTTATCACAATTATCTTCAACTCTGCTTACACCATCTCCCTCATCGTCAACATCTTTATCTTCTGCAACACCATTTGTTGATGATTCATTTTCTTTTGCAGCTTTCTTCTTCAATTTTTGTTTTAATTTTTTTTTCTGATTTTTAGACATACCTTGTGTTGACAATATGGTCTGTTCAGACGCATTTATAGATTTTTGAGACGGAGACCCTGAAGATGGTGATGACAGAGGCTGACTTCCAGTAATGCGAAGATGTAGGTCTTTTTTAGAAGTAGCCGGTGGTTTTACACCATTCAAAAGTTCATTCTTAACAACCTCCTCTACGTTATCGATACAAACCAATACATTTTCTGGTTTTAAATCAGTATGGATTATCCCACATTCCCTATGCATATAATCTAATCCCATAAGTACTTGTTTAGTTATTTGTTTTACCAAATGAGCAGGAACACCACGATGATTATATCGTTTTATTAAGCTTAATAAATTTTCTCCTAATACTTCGAATACCATACAAACGTGGACACCATTCGGACCGCGATGTTGAAAATGATCCAAAAGTTCAACAACATGCCGCCGGCCTGGAGCATCCGGATTTGCGTCAACGATTTTTTGTAGTAATTTAATTTCGTCTAAAGCGGTTTCTGTATAGTGAGGTGCCGATTTGACTACTTTAAGAGCGACATGTCGATTACGACTTGAATAAAAATAAAATTCAATACATGTGAATATAAAATTGTTAGAAATTTTTGAATAAATTGAATTAAAAATAATACCTCGAATAGATTTGAAAAGTTCAACAAACAATTGACAATTTTGCCTTACCGATTGTCTCTAGCAAGCCAGACTGTCGAAAAATGGCCCCAACCTAGCTTTCGTATGACAACATATCGACCTTCGTTAAAAATATCACCAATTTTTACCGGATGATAACCTCCTTTACAATAATCGTCCAAATCTTCTTCATCTTCAGTTAATAATTTTTCAGGTTCTTCTTCAGCAGAAGAGGAGGCAGCAGAAGAAGTTGAACGTTCTTCGTTAGCTTGTTGACGCGAGTTTGTAGAAAGTGGATGTGGATAACTGAGAAGGAGTAATCATCATAAAAGAATTAATTCGAATGCGAGATTAAGAAGCTTAAAAGGAATAAATTAAAACCGGTGACACATAAGAAGGTAAAAATCATTAATGTTGAGAGCTTACATTTTATTAGGAGACGTTGGAGAGAGTACAGGTGACATTGGTGAGTGTTTAGTCGGTGTGCTAGGCATGTTACTAGGAGAATTTACAACTGGTTCAGTACGTCTACGTCTCTTTTTCTGTGCGATAGCTTGCTTGGTTTTCGGGGCGACAGCTTGTCTTCGTTTATCAGACATTTGATCACACACACCGAACCCAAGCACAGAGGGAGTCCTTGCCTTGATTTATGGCGTATTGTCTGTCCAATTGATAAGTGGATGGCTGACATTCACGTTTTTTTTGATAGCAATGATAAGTGCAGAAAAGCTGTGCCACATAATCGTGTAACAGGTGACGCAAATCCCCAAACCTTGGTCAAGAAAGGGGGTCGTCTAAAGCCGTGTCCATCACGTGACCTGAAGCCAATAGAATTGTTTATTTTGATCGACACGGATCAGC